AGGGCAGAGGTCTCCATTCCATCTTTATTTATGGCCTATGTTTAAGAGCGTAAAATTGGGACTTTATCATCACCACTGCAGTTCTCACTGATGTCCATGGCATCTGGCAAAATGATCAGGAATAGTTTGCTTTCTGAGGTATATCACTTGCAGTGTTGCTCCCTAAAGAAAATCCGCCCTCTTTCTGAGCCATCACTTCTACCATTTGTTTGCTTTTCTTTTCCTCCTTTTCAGCTCCACCTCCCTCCCCTCACTTCTTCCCTCTGCATTTCCTTCACAGTAGCAGTTCTCAATTCCTGCCTCTCAAAGCACTTCACTCCCACTAAACCCTGTAAAACATGCCCAAATGGTAGGCAATGCAATAGTTAAGGTTGAGACTGAAGTGTGTCAGCATTTTAAGACTGACACTTCCAGGCAGATTCATGGCAGTAGAGATCACGCTTCTCAGAGCTATTGTTTCAGGCAGGGTCAGGAAGATATGAGTGCATTAGTTACACTTGAATTGCATTCAGAAGGTTTTCTTTGCCTTCTAAGGACTAGGGACCTTTCTTTTAAATGGCAGTTTATATGGCAAACAACCCATGGGTCAGATAAATGCATCATGCAGACTGGATCTTCTCTGTGGGCCATATGTCTGACACAAAAATTAAAGCATTTAATGCCAAGAGATCTCTTTCTGTTGCATACCTGTTACTAGAGATCAATATATATGTAAGCTAAATAGAAAGGGTTTGCTCCTTTGTTTTAATCAAAATAGTCAAGCCATGCTAGAGGACAGTGAGGCAATATATTTCCCATGTATTCTGTTAAAGATGTGAAAACTGCTTAACATGTGTGAGTACCTGCTGCTGCAATAGTTAATAGAAGCCTTGCTTGTGTAAAGCATAGACTATTCTGCTCAATATGGGAGCACGTGGGTGAAATAACCTGTGTTATTTGGGAGGTCAGAACAGAAGAACATTTAAACACATGGGCTAGGGACAGACATTCAAAAAGCCTGATCCTGAATTGATTCAATCTTTGCAGGTTAATATAACCTTGCTAGGCTAAATCAGTTTTGTAACCAGACAGACATCCCAGAAATGCTGGCACATGCCTGCAGTGGCTCAGGCTAGAAGCTGGGGGGCACTAGAGTAGCCCTCCCTTCTTTCCACAGCACTGAACTGAGGGAGGTGTGGCCAGGCTCAGACAGGACGCTGTGATTAGCCCAGCAGGGAATTGATAACAGTGTTTATCACCCAGTTAAGAAAATAACAGAGAGACATTACCTACTTGTTGATTCTATCTGTTGATTCAGCACTGACTGTAGCCAATATGTGGTCTGCTAGCTAATACACAGACACCTCCTCAGCAAGGCGAGGGGACGGGGGAATTCCTGCTTGGCAGTGAGTGGTGAGGGGAGGTGGGGAGCAGCCCACGGTCTCTGGAGCTCCAGCCAGGGAGCAGAGGGGAGGGGCCAGCTCTGCTGTGGAGCAGAGATCCTCACCCAACCCAGAGAGCATGCTGGGATGCTGGGGTGTCTGGTTTATCTTAAACCAGCAAGGGGTTGGGGACAGACATTGTATAAACCAATCTGAGCCAAAGCAGTTAAGCCTGATACTACATTCAACCAGGTTTATTTCAAACAGGTTTCAGCCATTCTCAAACTGGTTTATGTGAATTGAGCATCTGTTCTATTACAGGTTTAAACCAGTTTCTGATCACTTTACCAGTTTATGTGTAATGTCTGTCCCTAGCTGTGAAGAGGGCACTATAGTTCTTTGGGGATTGATTTCTTGCCCTTCTGTTGACATCACCTTGGAGCCTGATCCTGAGAGTTGCTGAGACTTCAAAGCAATTGCATAATGAGTTTGGGGCAACGATTTTATCACTTTCCTGCTCTGGATGAATGTACTATTTTGCTAAACTACATTTTTTTATTTTTCATATGCTGTCCAAGAAAAAAACCTATTAGAGGTTGTAAAGTAGATAAAGAAAAGGTCAAATTAATCTTTCATGCAAAATCACTAAATCTGCTGGTATTATGCTGGGGATAGATTGGGCTGATTGTACGTGAGAGCAAAAGAAGTTGGATTTAAAAAACTCATCATACATTAGTTCTGCATTTCAATTCTGTTCACCCAAGGGTAGGGCATAGTTTAGAATGGATGCAGTGATTCATAGTCAAAATAATGTGCACTGATATACGTAAGGCTGAACTGAAATGACAGTTAAGGGTCAGCACTACACAGTAAAATATCAAATATTAGATGGAAGTTAATGTTAAAGGTCAAGCTAAAATCTAATGGCATACGGCCATTACTGATCAAAATTATAATCTATGTTGCATGAACATAGTGGGAACTGTTAGAAATTTTAAAATCAATTTATTTTCTAAAAGTTATGCTGTAGCTCAAACAAGAATTAATTCAGGGAAGTCCTATGGCCTGTGTCATAGAGGAGGTCATGCAAAGTGATCACCATGATCGCTTCTGACTGCATAATCTGTGAATTCATATACTTCCACTGAATGCACAACTAGTTTAAGTTAGGGGGCAGCAGGCAGTTTTGCTGTCTGCTAGTTGCTCCTGGTCTCTCACCCAAATTCACAGCCCTGGAGACTCTTTAGCTCTTTTCAAAATCATAGATCTACCCAAGGATAGTCTCCAGCAGCAGCTAGGGTTTCAGCTTTTGTTAAGCAGAAAAGGGAGGGTGACTCAGCTGAAGATTAGGCCCCATCAATGCTCTACATAGCCATAATATCTGGGAAAATATTTGTTACTTCATTCTAGCTTTCAAAAGCTAGGTGCCTATTATATTTTGGTGCATATTGTATGTGAGAAAAATAGGGTATTTCAAAGTTTAATAGAGGAAAACTGCTCTTATGAGGAATCATAAGCAGGGAGCAGCAAAAGAGTCTAGTAAAGTTACTTAAACTAATGCAGCATTATCAGTTCTAGTGTCAATTGTCAAACTAATGCAGATAGGTACAACTGTCACTACCTAGCCATGTAAATCAAGTGTGTTCTGTATAGAAATAATGAAAAAAGATATGGACTAAATTAATCATGCACCCTGACAGCTGCCGTTGTCCCTTCTTTTGTACTTTTACTAACCTTCTTTCCAACTTGTTTGCTATGCTATGCTCTGCTTCATACCCCCGTTCCTTTGTAGATCCCTTCCCTATCTTGTCTGCACCCTTCATCTTGCTTCTTTTTACAATTTCCCAACTTGTACATATCTGCCCCTCCCTTTTCAGTGTTTCTTAAACCCTCTAACTTTCCCACCCTACCTGCTGTTTCTTTGCTTGCTGTGCCACCAGTCTTACACACATATGCTCTCTCCCCCCCCAGTACAAGTTGTTTTCCACCCTTCAAAACCATCTCATGGTCTGTCAAAATGACACACCAGGTTTCAATGGAGTTGTACTAGTATCACAGCACTGGCCCCCTGCTAGCTCCTCAGAGGAATTGCAATATCACCTCCAGAAGCAGCTGCCTCTTGAGAATGTGCTATCCTGCTGATATAAATGCAACTGGTCTGCAGCTGGGGTTAATAGACTCCCTCAGCTACCTGAGTAGCTGTGTCATTGCTACTGCCCTGTAGTGCAGGAATCAAAGCAGGGTGCATCTATCCCAGACAGAAAATCATCTTCTCCACTTAATATGTGCATCCTAATTTGGGGTGTTGTGGGGCAGGGTTTGCTGATCTCAGGGCAAAAGATGTATACTGAATGCAACATGAGGTCCCCCCCTCCCCTACTTCCCTCAGACCAGAGCCTGGGACAATTGCCCCTGGCTTTCTACTCTCCTGTCTCTTGGAATGGCTCTCTGCTTGTAAGTTCCTAAGTTCCTGCAACCTTCTGGATGTGGAACATCGCATCCTTCTTTAAATGTCTAGGTAACAGATTTCTGGGGTTGCTATTGTAAACGAGGACCTAATTTTTAACCCCAACATTAGTTCACCCAGACATACTTCAGTACCACATGCCATCCAGGTACAGATATGTTAGAAATGCATAGACAGATCAGTTTCATGAGCCAATGGGGTCACAGTGGCTGCATCTACACAAGACACTAAATGCACAGTAGCCAATGACTACTGTACAGTAGCGTCACATGGCAAGAAACGTGATGTGACACTACTGCGCAGTAGTCACAAGCTACTGCACAGTCAGTGTCACAAAAAAAGCTGTTCGGCCGTGCTACTGCTCAGCAACTCCAGTTACTGCACAGTTGTTTAGTACTTGTTCATGTAGTAATGACTGCACTGTCAGCGTCTTGTGTGGATGCAGCCAGTGTGCACTGATTGGCTTCCTCAAACTGGCTTGGTAGCAGTTTTTCATCCCTTTCATCCATCTTCTGTGCCCCCTCTCCCCTGCCAGCTCCATTGCAGGTGGTAGGAATGAGGGAGGGAAGCTGCACCAGTTTGATCATCACAACTGGTAGGGGAGGTCTACCTAAAAGGAAGGGTGTTGAGAGCTGTTGTATCCTGTTTGTGCTTTTGTAGCCACTGGGGCTTCCTTCATTCCTTCTGGCTTTCTTTTCTGATTCCTTGACGTTATTTTGTCTTTCATTGCAGCTCTGGGGCATAATCAAACAAGGATACAAATGCAAAGGTAAAGAAATAATACCTGCATGTTGTTTACAGAACACTGGCATTCACATCTTGTACCACAACTAAGTAAAGGCTCATATTTTTAGCAACAACACTACTGAGTCACTGGGTGCTGGGAGTATGGCACATGACTGTCAACTATGTGTGCAGCCTCCCTTTATTAAAGGGAGTAATGAAGTCTCTGCAGCCAAAGCCAGGAAT